TCCCAGGATCAGGAAACAGTCCTCCATAAAATGCGCTGCACACATCTGAATATTTGGGTTGAACTGTTCTGGAACAGTGTTGTAAATACAACTTAACCACTGATTTCTAGTCGTGTCCATTTTTGGAAGACCAAACAAAGTAGTTTCGCTTTCACAACGAAACACAGCGTCACACACGGCGGCCTAGCGTGAGCAGAAGCCGGGGGATTCGACGAAGGAGATTTTAACGGTGTAGTCAACATCCTGAAGACACAGGCCAATGCTTCAGTGCAGACACCGTACTGTAAACAGCAAATAAGTGTTGTGTGTGTACATTAGATCTCTGAGTTGCCTACATGTTGATACTCTTATCATTACGAGGAATTTTTCACAGACATAATGGTTTATTTGCTAAAGCTCAGGTAGCCTATTTTCGTTAGTATATTTTTGTAAGCTTTATGTGAGGAACAGACTGAAATTTAAGTAGCCTATTTACAGCAAATCGTCTCAGATCAAATATGATGCATGCTGTTGGACATCAACACAAATCTAACAGTTCTCAAATGTGTCACAACTCAATTTCACGATGCCCGACCTGCACCATGCAGCATGTCATTTGAGAAGGTTTTCAGTGAATAATGTGAATTTCAGTCTCATGTAACTATTGCATGACTGATAGATTATGGCACATGGGTCTTACAGACTAAACTCTTTTGGTATTTTTGGAGACATCCAGTGGTCACTGTAGTTGTATGGATACAATCTATGCAAAAAGTCTTTAATTCAGACATGAGACCTGAGAAAACGACTAAATTTAAGGATTTGATAAATATTAGTATTAATTTATTGAAACTAATGATTATAAAACGACAAATCTTTTATTTGCCTTTATAAAGATCAGGGTGGTGAAGGTGAATAACAGACCTACCAAACTTAACATTCGTATCGTAGTAAGCTATATTTGATTATTTTTAAATGCAATCATTTCGATATGTTCTATCTATTTTGGCATTTAGAAGTACTACCTCGTAGCTTGTCTGAATGTACCTGTACCTGTACCTGTGCGTCTGTTCTGTTCTCACCTTTAGAATTGCGGTCCACAACAGTTGTTTCTTCACTAGTCGAACATTTTCCTCTATCTTTTGCTCTCAGTCCGTTGTTGTTGTTTATTTCCTCACTGCATTTCTGAAGTCCCATTTAAGTCAGTACTCCACATGAACGAGCCGTCGCGGAGCCGCATGAAGTCGAGTCAGCTCAGAGTCCAGCGCGAGCGCCTCCCTCGCCACGGACGCGCGCGCGCGTGCACGCCGCTGGACAGGTTTAAAGGGGTCATATGATGCGATTTCAATTTGTCCTTTCTCTTTGGAGTGTTACAAGCTCTTGGTGCATAAAGAAGATCTGTAAAGTTGCAAAGACTAAAGTCTCAAATCCAAAGAGATATTCTTTATAAAAGTTAAGACTGGTCCACGCCTACTTAAAATGGCTCGTTCTAACACGCCCCCACATATCTACCTCACTACGTGGGGAGATTTGCATAACGCCGCCCAAATGTTCACGCAAAGAAAGAAGGCGTAACTTTTATTCTCGCTGTAGTATTTAGTGATGGGAAGTTCGGATCATTTTACCGACTCGGACCTTTGAGTCTCGTTCAGCAAAATGAAGGAATCTTTTTTTCGAGTCATTTCGTTAATTTTAACAAAAATAATTAAAATGTTACGTGTTACTTCCCTAACACATCTAATACTAACGCAAACGTTGATCACACTTCAAACAATACAAAACTGCTATAAGAAACAGAAAAGATTAATTCATGGTTTACCTGGGTCTTCAGTCTATGATTAGCTCACCTCTTATCTGACTCGAGTCATTTCGTTAATTTTAACAAAAATAATTAAAATGTTACGTGTTGCTTCCCTAACACAAACGTTGATCACACTTCAAACAATACAAAACTGCTATAAGAAACAGAAAAGATTAATTCATGGTTTACCTGGGTCTTCAGTCTATGATTAGCTCACCTCTTATCTGACAAGTCTTCGGGTTTGGGCTTATGGGGCTGTCACGTGGTGAACGATCGACTCAAAAAAAAACAAAGACTCGAACCAGGTGAACTTCTTGACTAACTCCAGTACAGAACCTATAGGATGTTGCGCATGCGCGACTGAACGAATCACTCCCCGAGACGACTCGTTCTTCCCGAATAACATTAAAGATTCGTTCAAGAACGACCCAACACTAGTAGTATTGTTGCCGCCGCCGCCATGTCGTGAAGACGCTGTGTGCTTCGTTGTGAAAGCGAAATTACTTTGTTTGGTCTTCCAAAAGAGGACGATATCGCTGATCTGTGCTGGTCGCTGAGGAAATACATCAACTTGGCGCTGTGGATCGCCGGATCGGCTTTCACCGTGGAACGAAGCGGAGTCCAGCCCGGGGTCGTCACATGTGGTTGCCGCAGGCATCACAGTATGGTGAGGGGCGTAACATTTCGGTCACACGCTTGAAGTATTCGGCCAATCACAACGCACTGGATAGCTGGCCAATCAGAGCACACCTCGCTTTTCAGACCGATGAGCTTTGTAAAAATCTACACGTTTCAGAAAGGCAGGGCATAGAGGAGAAACAATAATGTACAGTATGTGGAAAATAATTTATTTTTTTAACCTTAAACCGCATAAACACATTTCATTACACCAAATACACAAAATAATGTTCTTTTTAGCAGCATCACGTGACCCCTTTAACTATGCGCGTGGGGGACATTTTTGTATAATTTCCTCACAAACACACGAGTAAAACACACTCGTGAGGACGTTTGAAATGTAACTATATACAGTGCTCACAAATCATATTTTGCTGTAGCCTACTGATATCAACAGGTTTAGGGGTGGAGTGAGGATTGGCCTTCAGCAAAAATCATCACCTTTTTATAAATACCATTTTGTCTACAAGATGTCGTTAATGTGTATTTGAATTCTTGATTAAGGCTTAAAACTTGCCTCAGGGTAACAATCCCATTTTCTTAACTTTGCAAGCAAATTATGCAATAGGGCTATGCAAAAACACTTTTTTGTGTTTTTTTCACAACATATGCCCTATCAGTCTTTTAAAAATATTTTTCTGCATCATGTGGAATTAAGGCATTTTATATTGATTTTCCGTCCCATTAAAAATGTGATGGACTGCTTGTTTTTCTTTTTTGTATATGGAATTGCTTAAATGGCTTTGTTCCCTAAAAACAATATACGGATGTAGCCACCATAATATTATTGCACTTATCCTGTAATATTTTTATTTATTGGTATATTTTCCATTATTAAAGTGTCTATCCTTTTAGTATTTATTCCTACTAAGTCAAATAAAGCAGAATTTAATAAAATCATTTTCTGCTGCTTTTAATATTATTCTGACAGCAAATTGCATTTAGGCACTCAGTTGCACTATAAATATCTTGATAAAACTCTTTTCATTTAATGAGATCAAGTTTATGTCAGAAATACCTATGAAGTATTTTTTCTATCAAATATTTTTCTAACAATATTTATTCTGTTCTATTCTATTCCGCACAATAACTCCAGGACACCAGCATTAACAGTTGGTTCTGTCAGTATCGGGCGAGTAAAATTAACAAATGACTCATTATTTGAATGTGATCATTAGTTAGCAACACATTTGCATAAACGTATGTACCTCCATATCTTTATGCAGCCTGTTCTTCTGCGATGTTTACAAGGCTTCACGTGTGATTGTCACTAGTAATCTCATATCATACTTTTCATAGGACGCAGTTACACCCATTGTCTTCTCAGCTGAATAATTAATAGGACAGAGGTTAAACCAAACATTTGTTGTAAATGGCAGAACGAGAACCATCTGTTTGAGTTCCAGCATGAAGAAAAGCACACTGGTGTGTTTGGTCTCTGATAAACACATCAATCCTCGTCTGCTTCACGTCCACATATTCACACCTGTGAGACAAGAGACACGTCTCAACCTGTTCACCTGCTGGGTAGATGGTGTAAACTGTTTTAAATATTGAAACAGGATGGGTGGCATCACGGAGTCTTCAAACACAGCCATACACTAAATATGATACAGGAAAGAATAATAAATCTCAAAGGGGTGTAAAACAGCATCCAAAACTGCTATAAAAAAGTTTAAAATGTCAGTGGATGCTGTCCTATCACCTCAGGATTGAATCAAGCGCAAAAGTAAGTACTTCAGGAATATAAATCAACTTTGAACTATAAACTATATACTATAAAACAAAGACTGCATCTTAAATCCTGTATGAGGAAATAATCAAGAATAAAAAAAATATTTAAAAAAACACAGATATCCAAGTTTGAGGTTTGACAATGATTATTTATGATGAATATAGCTTTATGATAATACAGCATATAAAACAAACACACAATCCCTCACTCTCTCTCTCTCTCACACACACACCTATGAAGAGGCAGATCAGCTCTAGCTGCGGTGCACGACGCTGTCGATGCTCTCCTGAAGTTCTGCCATCTTCTTCAACACCAGATTCACCTTCTGCTCGTCAAACTCCAAACACACAAACTCAGAGCTCTGAAGTACAGAGAGAAAGAAACAGAGGCCACTCACATGCAGTATGAATGGTGAACCTGAACTGAACCAAATACATTAGAAACAACACATTAACGCTCTCATCTTAGTAATGCTGCTGATACAACTGTTACAGAGTCAACCTGCATCAATATTCACAACACGGTCAATACTGTTAAAGTAGTTCCCACTCAAAAAAAAAAGAAAAAAAATGACATCCGAAATCCTCAGAATTCTGAACTTGTTATTTGGAATCAGTTTTTTAAACCGTCTGAATGATAATAAAGAACTAGATTTGCATTTCCTGAAGGGTTCCCTGGAATTCTTGATTCCGATTGGTCGTTCAGCATTCTGTGAACAAATGTTTCCATAGTGATGCTAAACTGTGTAATTAATCATTGTCTGAACTGTTTTCCTACTTAGTTTTCCATCTCTCATATCCCTCTGCACTCAAAATTGTGAATTACTATTTTACGTCCATTTATTTGGTAAGCCGTGTACTTACTAAAGTGGAATAATGCACATTCAGCCTTGGATTCTCGCCTGAATGCTGATCACCCTTATGGTTTATTTAGTGATAACGACCAGCTGACTACATTATCCCATAATTACAGTGCAGCAAAAGAACAGTGTCAAAGCTTTTTTGTAAAATGATCCAGAGAGGCAGAAGAATGGGACTCGGACGACATCAGCAGCCGAAGCAGGTCATTATGACATCATCAGATACCCAAGGCGGCTCTTACACTGCGTTTAATTCACACTCAAATACAGCCTAAAACCCACACTGACCTATAACATAAACACTATTTGCTGATTTGCACTGGTGTCTCCTTCAGGGCCGGCACATTTGGGTAACCCAATATAAGAAATCTCTTATACTGCCCACCAAGGATGTATTTATTTAATCAAAAATACAGCTAAAACAGCAATATTGCGAAATATTATTACAATTTAAAATAACTTTTCTATTGTAATGTAGTGTAAAATAATTTATTCCTGTGATCAAAGCTGAATTTTTAGCATCATTACTCCAGTCTTCAGTGTCACATGACCCCCCAGAAATCATTTTAATATGATTTGATGCTTAAGAAACATATTCAAATGTTAAAATGTTTTAGTACTTGCACAGAAAATTTATTAACCCTGTCAGTCATCAAAGATACCCAATGCATCAACTAATGCAAAGAAAAACAAAAAAACATTGTGAATGAATTGTAGCTAGTTACCAATTACTGGTTGAATATAGAGGAAAAAGTGACAAATTAGAGATCAGTAACTGGGCTGAATTTCACCAGGTAACAAGAAGGACTCAAACATACATAGTAAGTAGTAAACTATGCTACATCCACACTAGGGCTGTGCAATATTGAAGCAAAATGCGATAACTCATTAAATAATGCGATATTCGATATGCGATACGATAATGCTTAAAGTGCCACACGCTCAGATGAAACGGTTTTACTCCGCTATTGCGGAGTCAGTTCTGTGAACTTCTATAACTATCTTGTGTCATATATATACAGTGGTGTGAAAAAGTGTTGGCCCCCTTCCTGATTTCTTATTTGTTTGCATGTTTGTCACACTTTAATGTTTCAGATCATCAAACACCCCTACAACAACTTCTGAAAGTGAACGTTAGTGTTTTACTCTAGCATTACATAAAAATGTCATTTTCACATTAGTGTAATCATTTTAACATGAGTTTAGGAACTGAATATCAAAAAGGAAAAATAAAACACTGCTTAGTATTTACTCTTTGAATTCAATATGCACCGATTCTTATTTAAGCTACTAAAGTTATTTAGGTAAGAGCAGTGCGTGATTTTCTCTTTGTCTTTTGTTCATGGCTCCAAATATTGCATGCTGTAGCGATATGCATATTGCGATATGTACATTTGTGATATTTCGATATATTGCACAGCCCTAAGCCACACACACATTATGACAAGTGCATTTAATAACAGGCATGATTCTCAAAATGTCCTGTTTAGCTGCTGCATGAATTAATAACTGATGTCAAGATCCTTTTGTATGCTCACAACAGCCATATCGCATCACCTGTAACCATAGCGACAGTGACTCAAGTAAATATAATAATAACATCGAAAAGGCTGATCACAATTGAGACAACGATATTCAATAAACAAACCTAATTACAGCGCAACTTCATCTGTGAAGCTGAATTAACTAACGGCAGCTGCGAGCACAGAGCACAAAACTGAAGGGAAAACAGAAATCTTCAGAGAAGGTGTGACAGACAACAGGTCATGTCCTGAAAATGTAAGGAAGTCATTTCAGTTAGAAAATGCTTTTTCACTCGTATTAATAATTAAACTATATGTAACCATATTAGCGCTCTAATGCGTGACTGACAACTGCATTCTACAGATGTGTAAAAATAGTCTCTTCTCTTCCCGTCCAACACAAACTCGGCACTATCGGAACTGATTTGTGGCTTTATCCCTCAGTATTTGATCTCGTGACCCTGAATGAAGAATCAATCTCCTCCTCTCAGCATTGTTGCACCTTTCTGCTCTCCTGCAGCTCTGAAGACAACTGAATAACCTCCGGTCCTCTATTCTCCGAGCGTGAATCACACAGTGTGTAATGCATCTCTCTGCACACGGCACAGATGATATGAAACAATTAAGAGCACTCAAACAGACAAACAAATGGGCTGAAAGCCACTTAGAGTGCAGAGGAGGCTCCTCTTACAGCGCTAAATGTGCATTTACAAATAATACAATCAAAAGGAGGCCGTCATTCTCGTCTTGACTCACTGAGGTTAAACGATAACATACAGCAGATTACGGATAAGCATCTCAAATCTGCAAACATAAAAACCCAAATGAACTTCATAGCAAAGAGCTGATGATAAGCAGAAAGACTTAATGGCAGAATAATGATGGCTAATGTTCTCTTGATATCACAGGACCTAAAGACATGGATTAGAGCTCAAAACCTCATGCACATATTGATATCAACATATTAATGATGAGTTTTAACTTTAATAATGGCACTTACTACAAATTTTGACACATAACTTTCCATAATTATTAATTGATGCTTCCCACTGATTGCCATTGTACTACTTCACAGCCGTGCAATTACAGAAGATTACTCAAAACCTCATCATCAAAGAATAAGTTAACCGTACCATGCTATAATTTTTATTTAAAAATATGCTAAATACAATTTGGCGTCTGGTAAGAAATCTTTTTGGCAGGAACATTTCTCATTTCATTTCTGCACTTTGAATTTTTTCCACACAAGAGGCCAGTTTGCATCATCCTGAATATCTAGTATCTACGCAACTCTTATCTGGCAGGTGTGCAGCAGATTATTCAAAACCTCTGTCAATCATTGAGAATAAAGAATTAAGCAACTTCACAACTAGTAAGACATCTTTTTGGACTCTGAACTCTTGCATCTCATTCAGAGTTACTTATGCAATACTTGGTACTTAATGCATGTGCAATAATATGTAATGCAGTTGATATGAACTATTTGCTAAAAGATAAAAAGAAAAAAAAAAACAATCTAATAATTCCAGTGTTATTTTAGCATCATTTAGATACTATTACACTTTTATTAGTATTTTGAATTAGTTTATATTTTTATCATTTCCGTTTTCATTTTAGTTAAAGGTTTAGTAATTCTGTTGTTTGCGTCTATACAGTTCTATTAATCTTTATTCCGTTTTAGTTTGTTATTTTAGTACATCAAGTTAAGCTTATTTTAAATATTTTATTTCCGTTAACATTTCTTTTATTTTAAAATGCTTTTTAGTTTCAGTTTAAAATAGTCTCAATGTTTCGTCTAAAGCGGTCTGCACTTTAACTGAGCTTTATAAAGGTTTTAAAAACAACACGTTTCTTTCAAAAAACACCCAACATGTTACAACTCCTGCCAATGTGAAACAAAACCAGACAGAGGGGTGTAATTTTTTCGGGACATGTCTGCACATATTCATAGGTGTGTGCAGTTATACTCTTTGCATCCAGACAGAGTACGTACATTTCCCAAGATACTGTGTATAGAAATCATCATCAAAACTCTCAGGCGCACACACTTCCCTGATTTTATTAGGCAAAGACATGGAAAAGGCAAGCATCAGAGCTGAACAGTGAAAAAAAAAAAATCTCTTTTGTGCTTTTAATACACTTCATATGAAGCTCCACCCTTTGAACTCTTATTTCTCCCGTTCAGTTCTCACCTCTCCCTCTCCGGGGCGGCCGAGCTCTAACTCCACCAGGGCCACGGGACTGTTGGACACCTGCCCCCTGCTGGCGGTTGTGTGCAGGTCCACCCTCCACTTCAGGCCCCTGAGGCCGGGCTCCCAGCGACTCTGAGCCAGCAGACTCTCTCGTACCCGCGTCCGGTGGGCCTTCCAGAAGCGTGCCAGAGCGGTCGCCTGCTCCGGGGTCACGCCGCTGCCGCCCTGCTTACGCGTCTGTGCCGTGAGGAACGCTTCCAGCTGCGCCTGATCCATGTCTGCTGACGCGATGGACTGTCGGAGAGACAGAAACATGAGGTCAAGACAGGACGAACTGGATTATACTGTAGCAGGGTTATTATAGTTAACTAAAACCAAAACCACAGACACCTTTCGACACGTGAAATAAAATGTACTTTAACAGAACTAATATAATTTTTTTTTTACTTATTTACTTTATTTCAGCTAGTTTAGTTTAACTTGTACTAAAATAACTCAAATTTACATTTACATTTACATTTACATTTAGTCATTTAGCAGACGCAGAACTAATATAATTTTTTTTACTTATTTACTTTATTTCAGCTAGTTTAGTTTAACTTGTACTAAAATAACTCAAATTAAAACTGAAATAAAATAGTTAAAACCTATATAATAATTTTATAACATTTTTTAAAATAAAAATGACAGACACAACAAAATTACTAAAACTACAATTACAATGAATACAGAAAATATATATATATTTCAAATTATAATTCAAAATATTAATAAAATAGTATCGCAATGACACTACAACGACGACTGTACTGTTGTATTCTTATATTAAAACTGATTAAATTAAAACTGAAATAAAATTGTTAAAACCTATATAATAATTTTATAAAAATTTTTTAAATAAAAATGACAGACACAACAAAATTACTAAAACTACAATTACAATGAATACAGAAAATATATATATATTTCAAATTATAATTCAAAATATTAATAAAATAGTATCGCAATGACACTACAACGACGACTGTACTGTTGTATTCTTATATAACTTGCAAAGATGTTTTGAAAAAAAAAAAATTGCTCTTAATTTTATGGTGAATCTTATGATTTGACTTGGTAAATTCCACATGCATAAAAGCAAAAGGAGTCATTTGTGGCTTAATTCTGTCTATTGACTATTTATTGTGTTTATATGTTTACTGATTAAATGCATTGAAAATAAACAAATGTATACATACAATTCTATTTGCTAAAGGAAAGGAAATCTTGTGTCTTTATTTATTCCATTTAATTTTTTACATATTTTATTTATTTTATTTTAATCTTTTCATTTTTGTAAACCCCTTGCATTAGTGTGCATAGTTATACATGTATCATAGACTTTACGTTGTGTAAACCATTTAATAAAAACCATAAAACAGCAAACTGTGTAATATAAAATACAGGTTAAGAATGATCGCCTGCATGAAATTGAGTGGTATGGAATGACTGAGAGCTCCCACTGAGGATGCAAGTCATCTGCTGCTCTCTAGTGGCAGACAGAGAGCACTGCAGTCCACACCTGCATTTAATTTAGTAAACAATGAAATGCATGTATTTGACTGCAGCAATAGCGCTAATAGTCGCAACAGAGAGCAGCGGGAAGTTAGAGGAGAAGCACCTTCAGCAGCGACCTCATCTTGTCATGTAGCGCGCGGAACCCGTCCGGGGTCATCTCGGCGTAGAGCTCATTCTTCAGAAACTCCTCCGTGACTTCTGTATTGCCGTAATAAAGTCTCTGCGTGATTCCGTTCAGTAAAGCGCTCACACATCTCTGGCTGTCCGCGTCCGCCATGCTGGATGTTGACAGGGGTCATGTGACCCGATTCCGCGTCACGCGCAGCTCGCCTTCCGGTCTTTTTCGATTTAATATAACATATAATATAAATACAACGTAAGTTACTTAGACATATTTTTCTTTTGCTAAATTTCATAAATTATTGCTATTATTATCATTATCATTATTATTTAATTATGCACACTATTAATGTAGATTTATATTGCGCCACAAATGCTGAAAGACAGAACCAGCCAATCACAGAGCGCGTTCGCTGCTGACGCATGGCTCAGAGTGCTTGTTCAAATAGGGCTGCGTTTCCCAAAAGCATAACGTTAAGTAGATCTTAAGAAACCATTGCCACGTTATTACATTACATAACATTGTTACTATATAGAAAATTAATTCTGAAAAATGCATCACGGTTTCCACACAAATATGAAGCAGAAATAATATTAAATGTTTCTTGAGCAGCAAATGATATTAGAATGATTTCTGAAGGATCATGTGACACTGAAGATTGGAGTAATGATGCTGAAAATACAGCTTTGATCACAGATGCATTTTAGATTATATATATATATAGGAGCTGTTAGAGGTGGGGGTAAATTAAACGCAATATGCAGTGTTGTCACAATTGTGTTGCAGTGTGTTATATGCAGCTGCCTGAAGTGTACATATGAAGTACAGTAGACTTGCTCCCTCTGTAAAAATCGAGGGGTCCATATAAACTTCCCTCATCCACATCACAAAGTGGAACACACTTCAAAATGGCAGTTCACAAGTGTGTGTGTGTGTGTGAAAGCAAAGTGGAATGCAGATTAAATCTTGAGTATGTGATTGCTAACTCCATACTACATGACTTGCACCCCTTCCATCAGAAAACAACAAAGGACAGATTAAGGATTTCTAAGATTTGATATCAATTGTGTGTGTGTGTGTGTGTGTGTAAAGATAGCTGTAATTTGATATAAAAATATAAACTGTAACAAAACAGTGTAATTAACAGACAACAATGCCAAACAGAGAGTTGTTGGAGTGATAATAGAAGAATTATCACAGAAATTTGGTTTCCCTGTTGAAAAAAAACAGCATATGCTGGTTAGGTATGTTTTGACACTGGGATGCTGGTTTATGCTGGTCCTTTGCTGGTTTAAACTGGTCCTTTGCTGGTCCTTTTGCTGGTTTATGCTGGTCCTTTGCTAGCACATGACCAGCATAAACCAGCAAAAGGACCAACATAAACCAGCAAAGGACCAGCATAAACCAGCAAAGGACCAGTTTAAACCAGCAAAGGACCAGTTTAAACCAGCAAAGGACCAGTTTAAACCAGCAAAGGACCAGTTTAAACCAGCAAAGGACCAGTTTAAACCAGCAAAGGACCAGTTTAAACCAGCAAAGGACCAGTTTAAACCAGCAAAGGACCAGTTTAAACCAGCAAAGGACCAGTTTAAACCAGCAAAGGACCAGTTTAAACCAGCAAAGGACCAGTTTAAACCAGCAAAGGACCAGTTTAAACCAGCAAAGGACCAGTTTAAACCAGCAAAGGACCAGTTTAAACCAGCAAAGGACCAGTTTAAACCAGCAAAGGACCAGTTTAAACCAGCAAAGGACCAGTTTAAACCAGCAAAGGACCAGTTTAAACCAGCAAAGGACCAGTTTAAACCAGCAAAGGACCAGTTTAAACCAGCAAAGGACCAGTTTAAACCAGCAAAGGACCAGTTTAAACCAGCAAAGGACCAGTTTAAACCAGCAAAGGACCAGTTTAAACCAGCAAAGGACCAGTTTAAACCAGCAAAGGACCAGTTTAAACCAGCAAAGGACCAGTTTAAACCAGCAAAGGACCAGTTTAAACCAGCAAAGGACCAGTTTAAACCAGCAAAGGACCAGTTTAAACCAGCAAAGGACCAGTTTAAACCAGCAAAGGACCAGTTTAAACCAGCAAAGGACCAGCATAAACCAGCAAAGGACCAGCTTAAACCAACAAAGGACCAGCATAAACCAGCATCCCAGCGTTAAAACATACCTAACCAGTATATGCTGTTTTTTTCAAAAGGGAAGTCAGGGCTGGACCAGGTTTAACATTCAAATCATTATTTACATAAAATCATTAGCATAAAATATAATAATCTTTCAAGCATTTATGTAGAGTGTACATGTAGATTTATTGTGTGACCTTTGATTTGTTCTGTAATGTAACTAAAATGTTGATGTAATATATATATATACAGGTGCATCTCAATAAATTAGAATGTCGTAGATATCTTCAGATAAACTCGTAACATTATATTATTTCCTCACAATCCCTCCCACATACTGTCAATCCTGTATTATTGGCCTTTATGAAGCACCTTTGATACCCGTTTACAGCAGAGGCCATAACCGTTTATGACATACAATAAAGAACAGCTCAGAGAGAGATGTTACAGAAGGAATAGTCATTCTCTTCACTGCTAGGCTTCATAATACAAACTGCATTGACCGTGAATTAAAGATGGCCTTATTTTCACTTTCTTTATATTCTTTATTTATTTTAGTTTTTCTGCATGTTCATGGAATATTGATTAGAGTTCAAATTATTCCACTATGTGACAAGAAAGAGAGCACACTGTAATATGAAAGACATAAAGCACAGCGTATGAAATCAGTTGCCAGGACAACAGCCATTGATACAGTTCACTGATCATTTGACATCAGAATGTTGCAATTGACCAGTCAGAATGAAGAATTCCAGAGGGCTGTATAATAATAAAAAAGAATAGACATGAGTGACTGAAACCATTGCATGAGAAGAAATGGTAGAACGAGATCAAGTAAATGTTGATTTCAAAGGTTCACAAATTTAGATATCTTCAGATAAACTCGTAACATTATATTATTTCCGCATATCACTTTAATCACTATACTTAATAGCTTTAGTAGTCGATTCTTTAAAGGAATATTTCACTTAAAATAAAAACTCGGTCATCAGATACTCACTCATGGAACCCAAAAGCAGATACTTAGCAGAATGCCCAAGCTGCTTTTTCCCCCATACATAGAAAGTGGATCGGGACCAAGAATAAATGAAGAGATTTAAATTTTCGGATGAATTATAATTTTAAAGTAGTAACACAACACTATGTTTCTTCACAGGATACAGGAGGACTCAGTGACACTGCAACAGTTACAATAACGGTTGAAGATTTTGACAACCTAAACCCTTCTTTTGATCACAGTCTCTATGAAGCATCCATTGAGGAAAACCAGGTAAATGACATCAGAGAGCAAGATCAACGCTTATAACACATGTCTGACCATACAGATAAAACCCTTTATGTCTTTTCTGTCCATGCACAGGTAGGACAACTGTCAGACGTCACTCCTGAGGCCATAAAAGCTCAAGATGGCGACACGGGCATCAACGAACCTGTAGTTTACAGCATAACCGCAGGTGCTGATAACAGAAGATTTACAACACACCTACATGACATACATCCTAATCTAAACAACCACCTGTTTCCAAATATAGTTTCTCAAATGTGGGAGAGCTAGAGATGAAAGTCTCATTTTAAATCTGATCTGTAAAATGCCACCAAAAATAGTCAAGCATAGTAAATTGGAATTGACAAAACTAGTAATTTACACTCTTAATAATATACATATATTTGAATATTCTGAAATAAGTTTCTGATAATAACAAAGCACATATATCCACAATTTTGTTCCAGCCTTTCCTAATGAATATCAGAGCTACTTCAATATTGATGAAAGTACTGGGGTCATCTCTGTGACAACGGCACTAGACAGAGAGGAATTTGAGCAGATAACGGTTTACATACAGGTATAAGACATTTTTAAACATTAATTTATTAAAGATTAGGCTGATGTTATGAATCTGAAGAGATTTTAGTATTTTGATCGTTCATGTTTTCTAATCATTATTTCTCAAAATAGGCAACTCAGCAGGATGATGCCAGCAAAACAGCAAATGCGGTGGTGTCCGTCACCATTGAGGATGTGAATGACAACCCGCCGGAATTTGACCAGGATCAATACACAGTATCTATTCCAGAAAATTCACCACAGGGCCAGTTTGTGCTTCAGACTAGAGTCACTGACCTAGACCTGGTACTGTTCCTTAAAAAAAATTTAAAAAAAATCACTGTCTCATAAAAACAGAAGAAAACTTACTAAGTGAACTCTTTCACTCTAGGGAGGATTTATGGGAACACTGCAGATTATTCCAGACTCCGTCCCTTTTTCCATCAGCCTTGATGGAACTATTCAGGTGAAAAGTTCTGCTGACCTAGACAGAGAGACCACAGATAGCTTCAGTTTTCAGGTAACAATAAGGCTCATTTTATCATTAGATATCACTATGATTTTTGTGCAATGAAGAATTACAATGTGATCACATTGGTTTCAAGTACCACTGTATTGTAAAGCATGCCATTTTTTTTAGGTTGAAGCACAAGAAAACCCTCCTTCCACCAACAAAGCAACAGCAGATGTGACCATTGTTACATTGGTTTCAAGTACCACTGTATTGTAAAGCATGCCATTTTTTTTTAGGTTGAAGCACAAGAAAACCCTCCTTCCACCAACAAAGCAACAGCAGATGTGACCATTGTCCTCCTGGATGAGAATGACAACAGTCCACAGTTTACAACTCCCAAGTATGAGGGCAAAGTTTTCAGCAATCAGACTAGTGGAATGCAAGTTGTCAAGGTGATGAATCATTGTTTTGTTGAGTCATTTAAATGTTTTCCAGTCCAGTCAATATTTTAGTAACTTTTCAGAGATTGTGGAACCATAATGTCATGACTACTATACCATAAACCTTGGAAAGAAGTTGTATACTAACTAAACGTATATACATTTTCATGTAAGGTTGAAGCAACAGACCTGGATGAAGGTTCAAATGGGGAAATCAGCTACTCCATTGAGTTTGGAAATGAGAAGGGTCATTTTGAAATGAATGAGAATGATGGGGAGATTACACTAGTTAAAGAAATCAGCCTGGTGGACAATAAAATCATTGAATTTGCTCTCTATGTGACTGCAAAAGACAGTAAGTTTTTATATCTAGGTGTTTTGGAAGACATTTGATGGTGGCATATATGGATACATTCCTTTTGGCTTAAAAACCACTGCACTTTCTTTTCATACAATTAGGGGGTGCTATAAGCAGATCAACTTCTGCAATAGTAAATGTCAAGGCACCTGGAGAGTCTCATCCTCAGTTCCTTCGGGACACCTACCAGGGACAAGTAGAGGAGGATCAGGCAGACACAGACATCGTGAAGGTCCTTACAGCACAAACTGTTTCCTTATTAGATCTTCTTTCACGAGCCATTGTTCCTGTAACTGATTTAAAGGGGTCATATTATGCGATTTCAAGTTTTCCTTTCTCTTTGGGGTGTTACAAGCTGATTGTGCATAGATAAGATCCCTGAAGTTGCAAAGACTAAAGTCTCAAAACCAAAGAGTTATTCTTTATCAAAGAGCTACTTCAATATTGATGAAAGTACTGGGGTCATCTCTGTGACAACGGCACTAGACAGAGAGGAATTTGAGCAGATCACGGTTTACATACAGGTATAAGACATTTTTAAACATTCATTTATTAAAGATTAGGCTGATGTTATGAATCTGAAGAGATTTTAGTATTTTGATCGTTCATGTTTTCTAATCATTATTTCTCAAAATAGGCAACTCAGCAGGATGATGCCAGCAAAACAGCAAATGCGGTGGTGTCCGTCACCATTGAGGATGTGAATGACAACCCGCCGGAATTTGACCAGGATCAATACACAGTATCTATTCCAGAAAATTCACCACAGGGCCAGTTTGTGCTTCAGACTAGAGTCACTGACCTAGACCTGGTACTGTTCCTTAAAAAAAATTTAAAAAAAATCACTGTCTCATAAAAACAGAAGAAAACTTACTAAGTGAACTCTTTCACTCTAGGGAGGATTTATGGGAACACTGCAGATTATTCCAGACTCCGTCCCTTTTTCCATCAGCCTTGATGGAACTATTCAGGTGAAAAGTTCTGCTGACCTAGACAGAGAGACCACAGATAGCTTCAGTTTTCAGGTAACAATAAGGCTCATTTTATCATTAGATATCACTATGATTTTTGTGCAATGAAGAATTACAATGTGATCACATTGGTTTCAAGTACCACTGTATTGTAAAGCATGCCATTTTTTTTAGGTTGAAGCACAAGAAAACCCTCCTTCCACCAACAAAGCAACAGCAGATGTGACCATTGTCCTCCTGGATGAGAATGACAACAGTCCACAGTTTACAACTCCCAAGTATGAGGGCAAAGTTTTCAGCAATCAGACTAGTGGAATGCAAGTTGTCAAGGTGATGAATCATTGTTTTGTTGAGTCATTTAAATGTTTTCCAGTCCAGTCAATATTTTAGTAACTTTTCAGAGATTGTGGAACCATAATGTCATGACTACTATACCATAAACCTTGGAAAGAAGTTGTATACTAACTAAACGTATATACATTTTCATGTAAGGTTGAAGCAACAGACCTGGATGAAGGTTCAAATGGGGAAATCAGCTACTCCATTGAGTTTGGAAATGAGAAGGGTCATTTTGAAATGAATGAGAATGATGGGGAGATTACACTAGTTAAAGAAATCAGCCTGGTGGACAATAAAATCATTGAATTTGCTCTCTATGTGACTGCAAAAGACAGTAAGTTTTTATATCTAGGTGTTTTGGAAGACATTTGATGGTGGCATATATGGATACATTCCTTTTGGCTTAAAAACCACTGCACTTTCTTTTCATACAATTAGGGGGTGCTATAAGCAGATCAACTTCTGCAATAGTAAATGTCAAGGCACCTGGAGAGTCTCATCCTCAGTTCCTTCGGGACACCTACCAGGGACAAGTAGAGGAGGATCAGGCAGACACAGACATCGTGAAGGTCCTTACAGCACAAACTGTTTCCTTATTAGATCTTCTTTCACGAGCCATTGTTCCTGTAACTGATTTAAAGGGGTCATATTATGCGATTTCAAGTTTTCCTTTCTCTTTGGGGTGTTACAAGCTGATTGTGCATAGATAAGATCCCTGAAGTTGCAAAGACTAAAGTCTCAAAACCAAAGAGTTATTCTTTATCAAAGTTGCGCATCATGTGTTTGTGTGTGTGCGAGAGAGAGAGAGAGAGAGACCCACAACCGTCTTAACCGTTAATCTCTGTTCCCCTTTCGGGCTCTGTCTTTACATTTATTTTGGAAGAGGAAGCTCGTGATTATGGTAAGGGGCGTTATATTTCCGACGTGTGCTTGTGGTGTTCGGCCAATCACAATGCACTGGGTCAGCTGGCCAATCAGAGCAGACTGCGCTTGTCGGAAGGAGGGACTTTGTAGAAATCACAGCGTTTGAGAGAGGCGGGGCATAGAGGACCTACAATAATGTACAGTATTTGAAAAATAATGTGTTTTTTGAACATTAAAGCATGTCAACATATTCTGATACACCAAATAATGATCTTTAAAAAAAAGCATCATATGACCCCTTTAAAAGCCTTTGATGACAATAATATGGTCTGCTGACTTACAACCATCTAAACTAACAAATCTTTATTTAAAGAAGTGAAAACAAAGAGATATTTACCAAACTTGGTACACTAATTTATGGACTCAATATGAAGACACATGCAAAAAATGGCAAAGCGTGGCCACTTGGTGGCGCTATAATAGGAAAAACATGAATTTGGCTGTGACTTTGGATTCATTGGTCCAATCTACTTGAAATTTGGCAAATTTTGCAAGTGTCAGCTCCAACCAGGGTCTACGAGGACAGTCCCGTATCTCAAAAAAAACCTTGAAAAAATTAAAAATTCTGTCATTATTTACATTATTCCCTTATGTTGTTTCAAACATTTTTTTCCTGTGGAATACAAAAAGGAGAAATTTACAAGTGGTGTGCAAGCTTTTTTGTTTTCCATGTGACTGTCAATCTCCAAAAAGGACACCATGAAAGGACCATCAAAGTAGTCCACACGATTTATGCACTCTATTCTTAGTCTAATAAAGGTATTCGACAGCTTTGTGTGAGGACCAGAATTAAAGAATCATAATGTACTGAAAATCAGAAGATTTGGAAAATAGCATGCATTCCTTTAAATGTAAATGGTCTAATCATGGACCAATGTGTACTCTCTCATTTACAGGTTGACTTCCTGTCCCTTGATCCTATGGTTACGGTCATCTTAAGGGTTGAGAGTGAAGTCGACAAGTTCTCTATAAACCAGGACACAGGTGTTCTCTCGACCAAAGTCAAACTAGACTTTGAGGAGAAGAGCAGCTACACTGTGCAGGTGTCGATATCAGATGGAACTAACCGGGATGAGGCATCAGTCCTGGTTGAGGTGCTGGACATCAATGACAACAGTCCAGAGTTTGAAATTCACCCTACTACTGTCCCAGTATCAGAGAATTACACGGTGGGAGATGATGTAACCTCCGTAACAGCCACAGATGCAGATTTAGGGTTTAATGGTGAAGTGCAATACACCATCCTGGGAGGTGTTGGGAGATTTAGTGTTCACCAAGAAACAGGAGCGATAACTCTAGTAGCTCCCCTTGACAGGGAGACCCAAGATGAGTACCGCTTAGTGATCACTGCCCAAGATCAGGGTCACCCGTCACGTTCCACTACCACCACTCTGGACATCTCCGTAACTGACATCAACGACAATGCTCCCATATTTTCCAAACAGCAGTATGAAACCACAGTGTCCGAGCACGCTGAAGTAGGAACAAGTGTCATAGACATTATGGCGACAGACAAAGATGACGGTGAAAATGCTATTGTGACTTATCACATTGTCAAGCAGGAGCCTTCTTCAACACCATATGTCTTTACCATCGATGAAGAGTCTGGTTCCATAAGCCTGGCTGGAAAACTGGATTATGGCAAAGCTAAACGGTACACTCTAGAGGTGGAGGGTCAAGATGGAGGAAACCCCGTTCTCACTGGCAGTACTTCTGTAACGGTGTCGATTAAGGACGTAAACGATAAAGCTCCTGTGTTCAGTAAGGACCAGTATGACGTGTCCGTCTATGAAAACCTTGCAGGTGGAACTGCTCTGGATTCTTTGGAAGTTTCAGATGAGGATGAGGTAAGAAAAGTAGATGCTAGACCTCTCCCCTAAAGTCTAGTAACTGCAGAGAAACCCCCTATTAACCAATGCCACTAGCAACCACCCAGAAAACCTTAGCAACACTCTAGTAATCAATTAGCAACCACATAGCAATAGCCTTCTAATATACACCATGTTAAGCAGTTGCAGAGGTGCTCCGACTCATCCTTGCAGGTGCATGGTAACCACATTGGAACATCTTTGCATCTTCTTAGCAACACTCAGCTACCACCCAAACGCTCTAGCATCAACTTAAAATTCTGTAACACCCAGAAACCATAGCAGTGCCCATGAACACCTTAGCCACCCTAACAACAATTTGACAGAATTTCCTACCAATTACTCTGAAAAGTTTAGGAACAGCTTAGTCATGCAAGTATACAAGGCATATGTAACATTCCAGTCTCTCTTCTAACTGCTCAAGTATTTAAACTACAAAAGACCTAAGCTTTCAAATTCACCTTGTACATTTCCAGGCAAGGCTTTGTCAAGCCAACATTCCAAGTTTGTTTTACCTTTTCTTGCTTCCTTTTCAATCAGGGTGGGTTCTCTAAAGGTCAGTTTATCATGGACAGTGATACCTTCATTATCAACAGTCAAGGAGTAATATCACTCAGGAGTGATGCCACCTTGAATAGAGAAACTATAGACAAATACAACATTGAGGTACAAAACTTTCACATTCATCTCTTGAAACCAACTATTCACAAAATGTTCAGGATAAATATGAATTTTAAATGGGATACTTGCATTGTCCTTTTTAGGTAATAGCTGTAGACCAGCCTGTTGATGGTTTAAGTTCCACAGCTCAGGTCACCATCACTGTTCTGGACGTCAACGACAACAACCCACAATTCCTTCCTTTCCCAGAGCCCATTGAGATTCAGGAAGGTGTGTACACTCCCTCATCAGCTGGAGAGGTGTGCTTAATCTCAGCCACAGACTCTGACATTGGAGACAATGGACGTGTCACCATGACTATTTCTTCTTACAGCAATATCTTCAGCTTCAAAGATGTGAGGAACTAAACCTATGACAGAGCATTGTCAGCTGTTCAATTCTTATTTATTATTATTATATATTTTTTGCTTTTCCCCTTTAGGATGGGACTCTACTAGCTATCGAGGAGCTGGATCGAGAGACACAAGATGTGTATGATTTGGTCATTGTTGCTGTGGATCATGGGATCCCACAGGGAAATGTAATTTCCTTTTCTTTGTAGAATTAACATGATCTAACTTCAATACAGTTTTGTTATTCTACATTCTTAGTCACAACCTCAGACAGCATTCCCACAGTCGGTTTACAGATTACTGGTGCATATTGCCAATATAACAAAAAAAATCTTGAACCTGAACTAGAAAAACATTTGAGTTCGCTCTAAAGCTGCTACTGGAGAGCTACCTTTTGCCAGAGTTGAGTTCATTTGAGTTTACAAAACAGGAGTGTCCAAACCTGCCCATGGAGAGTAAACTTCCATTAGTATTGAGCTCCAACCCTTCTTAAGTTCTCCTAAAACATGCAAAGGTATTCAGTATTACCTGAAAATTGCAGGCAGGTGTGTTGGAGCAGGGTTGGAACCTGGAGTTTGTGAAGGGTTGCTATCCAGGATCAGGGTCACCTACCCTTGCTCTTAAACAGTGGTTCCCAATCCTGGTCCTGGAGAACCCCCAACACTGCACATTTTAGATGTCTCCTTATTTAAACACACCTAAATGTGAGTGTCAGATAAGAGAGACACCAAAAACATGCAGTGTTGGGGGTTCTCCAGGACCAGGATTGGGAAGCACTGGTCTACAGTAATCCTAAAATACCTTGATTAGCTGGTTCAGGTGTGTTTGATTAGGGTTGGAGCTAAATTCTGGGGGATGGTAGCCCTCCAGGAACAGGGCTGACTACTTCTGCTCTAAATTTATTTCATATTTTGGATTTTTCCATCTCTAAATGACATGTAAAGCAAACTTCAGGTAGTGTTTTTTTATGTTGCGCAGATGATCAACCAGTCTAAGCTGCTACTGACTAAGACGTTGCACTGTGGATCCAACTTTGTGTCAATATTCAAACCTCTGGATACCTGATACTAGTTACAATACTTAAGTTAGATAGACATTGCAAATATGGGCTTTTGGTCTGTACTAGAAAAGAGTTGCTTGTGTTTATTTTTTGCAGAACATCACCACAGTGAGGGTCAGTATCACAGACGTCAATGACAATGCTCCAGTCTTCAGCTCTGACACCTACAGCAGAAGCATTCTGGTTAAAGACGCCAAGGTTGGAGAGGTGCTGCTGACGCTCTCTGCCACAGATAAAGATGCCGGATCCAACGCAATCATTAGCTACAGGTGAGGTCAAGACTTTCATACTTATAACTAAGCTTCCATTTAGAACAGTTAAACTCTTCAATATAAATAATATAAAAATACACTTACCTACATTACATTTTTTTTAGACAGATGCATGAATGTTGTCTTTCTGTAGTTTCTCTGAAGAGTCTTCCATGGTTGCACTGGATGCTGAAACAGGAGACATCACTCTGACCTCTGACCTTAGCGAGGTCACAGAAGACATGCTGCTAACCCTTACTGCTTCAGCGACAGATCATGGAACGCCAGCACAGTCTGATGAAGGTTTGGGTCTGGTTTGCATAATTCCTTTGAATTATTCCTGTGAACATTGTGTTCAAACAGTTCAGATCATGTTTGCAAATAAACAGTTATTTGGGAGGAGTTTATTCTTAGTAAACCCCCCCTTCAGTATTCAAATGTGATCCAATGAACATGTCAAAGCTAACATCTTTCTTCTCTCGGTAGCCGAAGTCTTGATCCACTTCAAAATTTCCTCTCTCACTGAGAGTGTGGCTTTTGAGAGCTCCTCCTACAACTTCAAAATTAAGGAGAATGAACCTGAGGCCACAATAGTAGGCAAGGTCAAGGCAGTACCAGGGAGTCCACTGGTTACAGTCAGCTATAACATGAAGTCACACGAGGATGTCTTCTCTGTGGATGAGGAAGGAACCATAAAAGCTCTCAGGCCACTGAACAAGGAGGAAGAGGAGTGGCACATCCTCACCGTAGAGGCAATAGACTCCAGAACACCTCCAAACACTGCAGAGACAACGGTACTATTCTTACTACAAACTAAGGCCAGAAACATACTCTACACAAGTATGCAAACACCAATGGTAGAAAGCGAAAATGCATGTTGAGTAGTTGTCCTAGAGGACAACTCAAGGAAACAGCACATCTTGATGCAACACTGAGCATGCACAAATAACTTTTGTAGCAATACGAATTGCTTTCTGACAAATGTAAGAATGCAATGACAAGTTTGTGTAACTAGAAAAGTTTGTGTTCACATACTTGCGTAGAATGTGTTTCGGGCCCAAGTCTTGATGTTCCAACACATGTTAAAGCCAAATTATATATAGTAGCACTTAACTTACTCTCTCTTCATTTTCAGGTCAGCGTTCAGGTTGAGAATGTAAATGAAGCTCCTGTGTTTGACACTGAAATATATAAGGCAGAAATGTTCAGTATCACTCCATACAAATTCCCTATAGTGAAGGTCCAGGTAAGTGAATCTCAGATGTGGCTGGTGCTTTTCAAAAGAGGGCCTAGACATCAGTTGTAAATGCAATGGATGTACTCAGACTTATTTTATATATAGTGGCATTTACCAAGGTAAGCATCACTGTTACTATTGCTTACAAGTAGTATTTCTTACACTGGAAGAATATCTAGAGACTAGAATATCATAGAGGCTTAGGGGTGGGCTCTTTTGACTCAGCCCAGAAAGCAAACACCTAGCAACCACCCAGAACATCTTAGCAACTTTATGGCTAATGCTCTACTTAACCTCCACGAAGACCCTTGCAAAATGGAAATACATAACAAAACGCATAACGGGGTTTACCCAAGTGGTTGAAATGTTGTGTGTCCCTCAGGCATCAGACCCTGATGTTGGCGAGAGCTCAGATTTGCAGTATTCACTACTGGAGTCCACATCTCTGGTGGAAGTGGAGGCAAACACTGGTCAGATCTATGTGCTGGATGCATCTAGTGTTGGCGACGGTCTGTTCACTTTACACATTAAAGCCACTGACAAACATGGACTGTTCACGACTACAAAACTTGAGGTAAGAGGAAACGGAGAGAGGGAGGAAAAAATGGAAAGCTTTTTCAAATTACCAAAGGCATTGTGACTGAGAACTGTGAAAAATGAAAGGATGAAAACAAGCTCTCATGTTTTCCACCAACAGTTCACAGTGAAAGAAAGTGAAAGTGACAACGTCGTGGTCCTCTCTCTAAACCAGCCCGTGTTCACAGTGGAGAAGAAGATACCAGAGATTGAAGAGTAGGAGAATTGCCATTTCTAAGCCTACTTTGCATGGGGACAGAAGGGAAATTTAATCATTGTAATTTGTGTTTTGAGACCGAGAGTAAGGGGAAGTATGTTCGTCCAAATTGTTCTCCCATTTTGTCACTATTTACTCACCGTCACGTTATTCCAAACCTGATGCTGCAGACTTTTCACTGTAAGACAAAAGGAAAGCTTTTTTTTTCACAGTGACCATGGGCAGATCAAGCGCCAATAATATAGTCCGTATGCATATCTTTCAAAGTCACTTTGAGTGAGAAAGAGACTAAAATTGACATCATTATTCACTCATAATCTCTATAACTGGGTCAGTGAGTTGACCTCAAGAACCCCTCATACTTGAAAAAACTTTCTTTTTGAGTTGGTTCTTTTCAGTAAACTTGTTGCAGTTCACAAATCATACTGAATGTGTTATTGGTGTTTTTTCTCAGGTCCATGACGAAAGCTTTAGGTTTGACTGTGAAAATCCTCAGTGCGAGAGCTGAGGATGGGATTGAGATGCGCACCATTCTCCGGGAATCTGCAGTCAAGACTTATATCAGCTTCATTGCCATGGACTCCAGTGGTGCTGTCATTGAAGCCACGGAGGTCAAAGAGTAAGTTAGAAATGCAATATATTCATACATTTTTTCACATGACTCCTTTTAAAGCCTACTTGGTTTCCATTGAAGCAAAAGTCTATGTAATTTAGACGCGAGTTTGAGGGATCTGAATTGTGTCGACTCCCACAGGAAACTGCGGAGTAATCACAACGCTCTAAAAGTGGAGCTGGAGAAGGTGTTTGGTTCCGATTTGGAATTCAAAGTGGAGGATGGTTCTGGAAACAATTCTGAAGATTCCAGTCAAGCAGCAGTCATCGCTCTCGGTGTTCTGCTGGCTATAAGCATTGTGGGACTCATCACTCTGACGACTGTCTATCTCGTTAGGTAACTTATTGGTGGCCGTTCAGACATCATACTGATTAAACTGTATGTTGACTTTGAACGTTTTTCAAAAGGTCTACTAATTTTTAAGGGGGAAACTTTTTTCCAAGCGTAAAAATATTTATATAATACATTATTTTTGCTGCCTCAGGAAAAAGAAAATGAAGTACACGGATTTGGACAAAGAGAGCTTCAATATTGGCAGAACCAAGACCAGATCAAGTATTGACAGTAGTTTTCAATTTTCCAGGTAAACATTATATTGTCAGAGAGCAGATGCCAAGATACACTCACATGTTAAAAATTTGATCTCAAATACAAAATGTGCATCAGTTTTGTTCTGAGATGTTTGACTAAACATATTTCTTCTGTTGATAGCAAAAAAGAAGAAGCCAAAGAGGTAAAGCACTCCATTCAGAATTAGAATTCAGCCAGTGTTCTGTGGAACTGAAAAGCTTGCATTTACAAATGCATATTACAAATTTTGTTTTTCAGGTTGAGTTCAGTAACAGACGCGAGTTTGAAAGAGATTCCGAAAATGATGCAGATTTGAAAACTGGAAGCAGCATCTCTGCCCTATGAAAACTGATGGATTATAAGACTTCATGAGTTTTAAAATGAATTGACACACTGTTAAATCTCTGTTCCAAAACTTAGTGAGTTGCATTTTAAGGCAATTCCAAAAGATACAAGCTAATCCCATAATGCATTGTGACAAGACAGAGTGAAATGTTGACTATAAATATATTTCTTTCAGTTAATAATGAAAAATTTTAAATTTTACTCAACATTTTATGTTTGCTGCCTATGTAGCGTGTGCAATATCAGTCACTTCTAGGTTTCATTTCAGTTAAGATGCTTAAACTTACCCATTTTTGGAAAAGAGCAAAAATCTTTTTTGTATCCGTGTTTTTAATATGTACATTCAACTGCCTTGCATTTTGATAATTAATTTTCAATGTGGTCTTTTACAATGGGACTTGGACATCCCAAAACCTGCTCACAAATAACAGTAGTCTTTTGCACTTTAACTGGCCCAGCTATGATTGTGTATCAAAACGCTTTTAATTTGTATCTTTGATGTAAATACCTTTTTAGAATGATTTAACTTTTAAAAAAATGTTTCTTAACCGAAGTGTGTGTATTTATCACAGGTCAATCCACAAATGAGACTTTTGAGTTTTAATCCCGCACACTTCCATCCAGTTTGTGCTTTGGGCTGTGCTCAGAAAAGCATACTAGCATACTTTTTTTAAAGATTAATCCAACCTGAACGCCAAATGTTGAGGCATTTACGCAAAAAATTTTATTAAAAAAAAATATTAAAACCAGTAATAATTTCTGAAATGAAAATTAAAATTAAATACAATTTGCTTCTGGTAAACAATGCAACATACTACCATTTGAAATGTTTTATTGTTGCATTTACAGCAAAAAAAAAAAAAAAAAGGTAGGAAGTATGCAGTGTACACTATAGTATGCTGTACACTAGTATTCTATTCCAAACACAGCCATCAGCCACTAGTTACACTCAGCAGAAAGAAAAATAATTAATAAAAATCACCTCACAACCTGCTTTTTGGACTTGATTCATAATTAAATCATATTAAAATTTTATTAAGTTATAGCCTATATTAAAATAAATCAAAACAGAAAGACAGAGAGAAATCAAATACAGAGAACGCAAGAATGACATCCAATAGATTATGGAATGTATTTCGGTAAATAAAATAGAGCTCCAACTGTTCCATCAAATGTGCAATATTCCAGCCACAAATGTTCTGAGCCTGAAAAAAGCACCGTAAGTTTCTATATACACAACGTAGGTATATATATATACACACACAGTAGATTTATATATACAGTATACGGCGCTTGAATGGATATATACTGTATACATACATCTTACAGAAATATATATATATATATATATATATATATATATATATATATTTTACCCATCTCATTTACAAAGCCAGGCAACATCTAGAAGATTCTTTACAGAATCAAGGTTCTTGTGGTTCGTTCTTTCTTTTCAATATACAAAGTAAACATAGTTTTTGATATCCACCACAGAGAGAAAAAAAAAAACACAGCAAGGCCTTCTCAGCCTCACATCTGTAAGTACAAAACTGGCACAGAAGACAATCATAATAATAATAATAATACACGTGAATAAAAACTAATTAAATTATGCACTGATGGGACTAAAACGTTGTAAACCTTTTCCCTGTTTCACTGCAGCCTCGAAAACAAACCACTTCAAAACAAAGAAACCAACAAAATCACGATTTAAAAAATAAAAAAACTGCCCTTTGACAAAAAAATGCTCCAGTTGTTTTTTTTCGTTCTGTACAATTAATGCAGAGCTCAGTTTTCTGGAACCGGAAAACTGAACTTCTTGTGTTGCAACCTAAAACAGATAAAGAGCGAGGCCAAAGAGCGAAAAAAAAAAGAAAAGTTGGACTTCAATTACTATGTCCAACTACTCTTAAAAAGACAAAACTGAACAGCATGGCGAACGTGAAAATGTGAAATGCGAAAAAGGAGGGATGCGATAGTAACATCACAAAGCTAAGGGGCGTGTCCCTCCTTTCCCGTTCGAAAGTTTGGCAACCACAGCAATCGTGGCCTCGACTGTGCGCGACAGCATCTCCAGAGCATCCTGCACGGGGGCGTGGGCACACCCGCCTGACTCCGCCTCCTGAAGCGAGCAGCTCCGCCCCTCGGCAGCATCTGGCAGGCTGGAGAGTAAAAGCACTGAGTCAGCGGAGGAGGAGGAGGAGGAAGTGGAGGGCACTTCCTCTTGCTCTGGCTCCGCCTCCTGCTCTTGCACTTCCTTCTGCCCATCTTCCTCTTCCTCCTCCTCTCTTCCAGCTCTCTGCGGTGGAGGTTCGTCCGCTCGGCCAAACGCTTCAGGAAGGGAGGAGGATGATGACGAAGATGATGATGAAGATGAAGAAGAAATATCCATTTTCTTCTCCTCGAGGGACGCGCTGTCAGGAGAGGGTGGGTCGTTTTCCACTCCCGGGTCGATGAGGGAGGAGTCTCGGGTTTCGGTGTCCGAAGTGCTGGTGGGCGTTAACGCCTCTCCTGGCTCCGCCTTCTGCTCCGAGCAGGGAGCCAATGAGGAGGAAGCAGATGGAGGACAGACGCTGTCTGCCGGCCGATCTTCAGCACTGCTGCTCACCCGCCGGCGCTTCACTGGAGTGACACCTTCCTCTTCCACTGCGAAACAGACAGAGATATAAAATGAAGCAACATGAACCCAGTGATGTCATCAACAATAAGCGCACATTATGCATAATACCCACTTAAAAATGCTTACTTTTATAATTTAAAAAGTATACCATTTAGGATTGCTTTGTGTGATTAATGTTGTTTCTCATTTAAAGTGTTTAAGCATTTTGAGTTCCTTGAAAAGTGCTCTGGTATTACTAATAGTACTATCATGCGTAAGATATATATATTTCAATTTATGTATAATTACAATATGTAATCAGTTTAAAATGTACTTTTAGTCATTTGCAAGATGTAAAAAAAGGTTATTTTTTTACCCCTAGCTGTTGCTACTATTTTATATTTAAATAAATATTATATCATATTTTAAATAATTCAAAGCCGTGGTGTACAAGAAATGCATATTTCCTTTTTTGTAGCCTTAGATGTTGCTACCATTTTTATAAATAAATAAATAAATATTCACCAACAAATTGTATTTATTTTTAAATATTTACTTTAAGATATTTATTTAATAGTTATTTTATTTTTTAAATAAAACTTGTTAGTGTTCGAGTACCCTGAAAAGCGCTCTTTAAATAAAAGTATTATTGTTATTATTTACAAAAAACATTTTCTGTATTAAAATATTAAAATGTACTTTATAATTATTAATAAAATAATTCAAAGCCATGACGTACAAGAAAACATTCTCCTGTTTTGTACCCCTAGCTGTTGCTACCATTTTTATAAATCAATGATTATTTAAAATAATGAATAAATAAACAAAATACTATTACTACTACTATTTATTTTTGCATGGCAGTGAAACGAGCGTGTTTGTGTGTGCATTGTCACCTTTGGCTTTGCGTTCCTTGGCCTCCATCTCTAAAGTGGTGCGGTGCTGCAGACACAGTCTGCATTTGGACAGCAGCTCCTGTAGAGCCGGACCTAAAGCAGGATCCAGCTGCTGAGGGGCGTAAACTGACAGCACCAGCAGCAGCGCACGCAGATCCTTCAACAGACAGAGAGAGGGATGAATAAAGAGCTCTGGAGCGCTGGGTAAGAAGTGAGGTGGAGCTGTACTGACTGCGTTCAGGAGGCTGCTGGTCTTGCTCAACTCTGCTCTCTGATTGGTCAGCTCAGGCTGCAGGCTGTGGTACTCGTTCAGTAGGTTGGTCACCAACACATTGACGAGATTCGAGCAGCTTTGGCCTGATAACACCTGCACCTGCACCTAAACACACGAATCAAGTTTTAAACAGCAGCAGGAGAAGCTCAATGTCAGAAAGCAAAGAAGAAACGTTTCAAAATAAACTTAAATTTGGGTAACTTGCATTGAACAAGGTTTCACACTTGTAATTACGTGTTAGCACCATGAGACACAAAACTAGCACAGTTTCTGGGACAACAGTCAATTATATTTTTGGCCACAGAATTGACCAATCAGAATCAAGTATTCAAGAGTGTTGTGCAGTAACTCCAGAATAGCATTATTAAACTAAGTGAAGATAACCCGTGACTACATTAAATCTGCGTGAGAAGCAGATGTGCATGTATTTACTTTATGTAAGAAGCAGGTGAGGAAGGAGTAGGCGATGTTGTTGTTCAGGAAGTTTCTCTCGTCCATCAGGATGCATTTCATGTATTCTCCAAACGCCGGATCCTCACACAACAGCTTCACACACGACTGAGCCATCGCACACTGACAGAGACCAGAAAACACACACATCAGATTCTCACTTCTGATTGGATGAAATTGCTTTATTTTCATAATTATGCCTCTGAAATATCTGCTGCTTAAAGGCCACCTGTAGTGTCGCCCATATAAGGAATCCAACTGACATACAGAAATGTGTAATTAAAAATTACACTAATGTAATGCGTTTTAAAAAGAATTGCTTAATGTGTGATTATTGTTGTGTCTCAATTAAAGTGACTTTGAAAAGACATTATTATTATTATGTATAAAAATATAGTTTTTTGTAAATAAAAACTATATTTAAAAGTAAATAAAACAATATTTTCTTATTATAAATAGATAGGAAATATTAGAGTAGAGGAAATATTATAATAAATTATAATATAAATGATTATTATTACTACTATTACTATTATTATTATTATTATTATATAATATTATGTCTTAAGTGTTCATTTTTCAAAATTGAGATTTAGACTTGATCTGAATAAATAATCTTTCCATTGATGTATGGTTTGTTAGGACAATATTTGGTCGAGATACAACTATTTGAAAATCTGGAATCTGAGGGTGCAAAAAAATACTGAGAAAATCGCCTTTAAAGTCGTGCAAATGAAGTTCTTAGCAATGCTTATTACTGAACAAAAATTAAGTTTTGATATATTTACATTAGGAAATTTACAAAATATCTTCATGGAACCTGATCTTTACTTAATATCCTAATGATTTTTGGCATAAAAGAAAAGTTTATAATTTTGACCCATACAATGTTTTTTTGGCTATTGCTACAAATATACCCCAGCGACTTAAGACTGCTTTTGTGCTCCAGCGTCACATTTTGTATTGTGTAATTAGAGCTTAAAATGTGATTATGGGAATATGTAACATGAATAAATGCATATTTTCTTTTTGCACCCTTAACTGTTGCTAACATTTCTTATTGAAAAAATAAAATAAATAAAAATGTATTATTATAAATAAATGTAATAATAATAATAATAATTATTATTAAAATAGAATAATTCAAAGCCATGCATGGTAGTAATTTTACCACAGTTTTGATATTAAATTGATTATTAATGATTAGCTATGTGATAATAATAATAATAATAACGTTATTATTATATTTTTAAAAAATTATAATTCAAAGCTAGGCATGACGGCAATTTTACCACAGTTTTGATTTGGAGCTGATTTATTTATTACTTCAAAGCTATGCATGATTTTGCCACAGCTTTAGGCACTCCACATCTCATCATGCTTAACCTGTGGCAAAATCATTGTAAGACATGACCTCTACGTTTGTGTGACAGAAGACTGAGAAGATTTTACCTGAGACTGAGCAAGTTCTGTCCATAGTTTTGGAAAGAGAGCCAGGTGTAGAGGAAGTCCTTCATATGCTATCAACACACCTGCACACAAGTGAATAAACACCATCAGCACACACACACACACACACACACACACAGTCAAATAGAGCTTTCGAGAGTGAAGCATCCTTACTGAGTTTCACCAGAGTCTCGGTGAACTTCTCACAGTTGATGGCAACTCGGCAGAGCAGGTGAATGAACTGATGATACGACAGGAAGTAGTCCAACAACATCCTGTCATACACCTCATCTTTACCCTACAGGAAACACAAACCGCACTCGATGAATAACTCAAGCTCAGCGTGTGACAGGATTCATGCGCTGGTCTCATACACACCTTACTGGTCTCCACCATCGAGGGCAGCAGGCACATGTTGAGCTCCGGTCTGGGAGGTCGAATGTTGTTCTTTCCGCCCATCAGCTTGATATTCTCTCTACAGGGCAGATACGGGCCAAACGACACTGCAAACACACACAGACAGTGTTAGAGATCACGGTGATCGTGATGATGGTGATCAGTGCTGTGTGTATGAAGGGTTTGGCGGGACTCACTGGGGATGTTGCTGTGGTGGTAAGTGCAGTGGTTGTGCTGCAGGAAGGGCACGAGCGTGTGCAGGAAGTCATGAGGACTCAAGAGCACCAGCTCCTTCAGCACATCTGAGAATGATAAGCGTGCACATTCAGATCACGTTCATCTGCTACTTCGGTTTATCTGAAATCTGGTTCGTGGATGTGGTGACTCACCCAGACAGGCGTTACGCAGCTCCGGTGGGCTGTAAGAGTTCAGCAGTGTCAGCAGCTTATGAGCAAAATCAATCCTCTCCTGCCACTGGATCAACGCCTGCTTCACATCTACCAGACACGAACAAATGAGCAGTGACTGAGATTACAGTGCATGTACATTATGGGTAACTGAGAACTTTTTGTATTGCATAAGGCACATTAAGGGTAACGGGGTAATTCAGAATTGATTCTTTAGGTGTATTATGGGTAATGAGTACTATGGCATTGCATGATATATTGAATTATGATAATAGAGTACTTTTGTGTTCCACATTTAGGTGTATTATGGGTAAATACTTTTGTAATGCATAAGGTGCATTATGGGTTATGGGGAACTTTAGTATTGATTTTTCAGGTGAATTATGGGTAATGAGTACTTTTAAACTGCAGATTAAGCTGTATTAGGGCTAATGAGTACTTTTGCATTGCATGCTAAATTGCATGATAATGGGGTACTTTTGTGTTGCATGAGGTGCATTGTGGGTAATGGGTACTTTAGTATTAATTCTATAGGTGCATTATGGGTAATGTGTAGTTTTTGTACTGCACGTTATGGTGCATTATGGGTAATGTAGTACTTTTGCATTGCATGCTAAATTGCATGATAATGGGGTACTTTTGTGTTGCATGAGGTGCATTGTGGGTAATGGGTACTTTAGTATTAATTCTATAGGTGCATTATGGGTAATGTGTAGTTTTTGTACTGCACGTTATGGTGGATTATGGGTAATGAGTTGTTTTGTATTGCAGGTTATGGTGCATTAAGGCTAATAGAGTACTTTTGCATTGCATGATAAATGCACATTATGAGTAGTTTTGCACTGCATTTAGGTGTATTTTGGGTAAATAAGTACTTTTGCATGGCATTGTAAGGTGCATTTTGGGTACCGAGTACTTGCACTGTACGTGAAGGTGTATAATGGGTAATGAGTAGTTTTGTATTGCAAGGTAAGGTGTATTATGGGTAATGGGGTACTTTAGCATTGATTATTCAGGTGCATTATGGGTAATAAAGTACTTCTGTATTGCATGTTACAGTGCATGAGTAATGAAGAACTCTGGAGTTATTTATTTAAGGTGCATTACGGGTAATCATTACCCACAATACACCACACATTTCACATGGAGGTTATGTAGTACCTTTGCGCTGTAAGTAGGGTCGCGTTGCCTTTAAAACAGACAGGAAGATGGACAGCAGCTCCACTAGATCTCCGGTCACATGACACGCAGTAGCCTCATGGTACATCATGTGCAGGGTGTTGAAGGACTGCAGACACAGAGATATTTAATTCTACAGGACAGTCCATTTAAATGTGAAGATGCATGAAAAGAGTGAGAGTATGGATACCTCAGTCATGAGGATGAGGCCTCTGTTGAACACCACCAGCAGTCTGTCCTCATCGTTCTCCAGCAGAATACGGAAGGCACTGAGAGTACACAAAGAGTTTAGTATGAATGAAAACGGCTCCATCTTGTAAAATAAATACTAATTTTAAGGAGTGTGTGTTTGTACCTGATGAGAGTGGTCCAGCAGGAGCGTCCGTCCAGACAGCGCAGGTAACAGCTGATGGTGGTCTTCTTGAACTGCTTTACGTCCTCCAGCTCTTCCTCTCTCATATCAGGCCTCTGAGCCACAAACAACTGCATCAGGTTAAACAACTCCTCCACCGCCTGCAGAGAAAGAAAAAACATGCTGTTATTTGCTTGAACTGAATTAACCTGAACAGCTGAAACTTAAATTCAGACATCATATTCCCTCAGAAAGAAACAGGAGGCACATGTTATGAAAACATGGCTTGAACCTCAACAAAATACTATTAATAAACAAAATGTTTACTGAAATGCTTAACTCTCTGAAAATGTTGTTTTTAACTTGAGATCAAACTAAATGCAGCGTTATTATAGGCATTATTTTATTAATATGAGATTAAGAACAAACCTGTTATCAAAATTTGGGAATGTTGTTTAAATGCAGATTTTATTTTTCTAGCAATAAACATTATGTAAACAACAAAAGTAAATAAACATATAAAATAAAAAGTGCATAATAAGTAATGATAATGGATGAAGTGACAGTAAAGCTATTTATAATGTAACAAAACATTTCTTTCAATAAATGCTGTTCTTTTGATCTTTCTATTTAAAGAATCCTGAAACATGCATCACAGTTTCCACAAAAATATTAAAGCAGCTCAACTCTTTTTATCACTGATAATCAGAAATGTTTCTTGAGCCGCAAATCAGCATATTAGAGTGAATTCTGACGGATCATGTGATGCTGAAGACTGGAGTAATGATGCTGAAAATTCAGCTTTAATATTTTACATTGCAATATTACATTTTAAAATATATTACCATAAAAAACAGCTATTCTTAATTGTAATAAGATTTCACAATATTACTATTTTTACTGTATTTTTGATCAAATAAATGCAGCCTGGTGAGCAGAAGACACTTCTTTCAAAAACATTTAAAAATCTTACACTTTTGAATGGTGGTGTAGTTACTGATAAACTATCATATACAGTGGTGTGAAAAAGTGTTGGCCCCCTTCCTGATTTAGTCAAATATTAGTCAAAGATAACACAAGTGAACACAACATGCAGTTTATAAATGAAGGTTTTTATTATTAAGGGAAAATAAAATCCAAAACTACATGGCCCTTTGTGAAGAAGTGTTTGCCCCCTAAACCTAATAACTGGTCGGGCCACCCTCAGCAGCAACAACTGCAATCAAGCGTTTGCGATAACTTGCAATGAGTCGGTTACAGCGCTGTGGAGGAATTTTGGTCCACTCATCTTTGCAGAATTGTTGCAATTCAGCCACATTGGAGGGTTTTCGAGCATGAACCGCCTTTTTAAGGTCATGCCACGGCATCTCAATAGGATTCAGGTCAGGACTTTGACTAGGCCACTCCAAAGTCTTCATTTTGTTTTTCTTCAGCCATTCAGAGGTGGACTTGCTGGTGTGTTTGGGATCATTGTCCTGCTGCAGAACCCAAGTTCGCTTCAGCTTGAGGTCACGAACAGATTGCCGGACATTCTCCTTCAGGATTTTTTGGTAAACAGCAGAATTCATGGTTCCATTTATCACAGCAAGTCTTCCAGGTCCTGAAGCAGCAAAACAGCCCCAGACCATCACACTACCACCACCATATTTTACTGTTGGTATGATGTTCTTTTTCTGAAATGCAGTGTTACTTTTAC